AGGTAATATCCGAGGCCGAAAGTGAATCTTTCTATATGCAATGTGATATAGCTATGGCTTTAGAAGAGTTGAATTTTGAATTTAAAAGAATGTCTAAGGAATACTCTTCTTTCAAAAAATTACATGCCTCTTGTGATATTAAGCTAGAACAACTAACAACCTCTCTTGCTCTTAAAGATGAATTGCTAGGAGATCTCGATTTCGAGAATAAGCAACTAAGATCAAAGATTGAAAAATTAGAAATTGAGGGTTGTAGGACTAGACCCACTCATGTTTTTGCTAATTATCATCATGGTAGAAATAAGTTTTATGGCTCTCACTCTCATGCATACAAAAGAAATTTTGTGTGCACATATTGTATGAGACATGGACATATTTCTACTCATTGTAGAATCAAAGACAATGAAGATTTTTATGGTTTGATATGGGTACCCAAAGGTACCAAGACTACTAACCACCAAGGACCCAAGACATGGGTACCTAAAGCTACTACACCTTCATCTTCTTCTTTTGTAGGGAACGTCGCGGCAACGACGTAAGGAGATGTGGTACCTTGATAGTGGTTGCTCACATCATATGACGGGCAACAAAGAGTTATTTGCAACCCTATCAAGGATTGAAGGAGGCAATGTCTCCTTCGGTGGAGGTGAGAAAGGCAAAATCGTTGGTATTGGCTCCATTGGTAAGAAACCCTCACCCATAATAGAAGATGTTTATTTAGTAAGTGGTTTAAATCATAATCTTCTTAGTATTAGTCAATTGAGTGATAAAGGTTTTGATATTTCTTTTAAACCGGACAAATGCATCATTAGTATGGATGGAAAAATTGTTTTCATTGCAAATCGCAAGTCTAATGTTTACATTTTTGAGATGAATGAGTTAGTGAATCAAGATGTAAAGTGTCTTGCGGCAATTGATGAAAATCCTTGGATTTGGCACAAGAGACTTGGACATGCAAATATGGAGCTAATCTCAAAATTGTCTAAGAAGAATCTTGTGAAAGGGCTACCTAACTTGCACTTCATAAAAGATACAATTTGTGAGGATTGTGCCAAAGGTAAACAAACAAAATCTTCTTTCAAATCCATCCATGAGGTATCGACTTCTAAACCCTTGCAATTACTTCATCTTGATTTATTTGGTCCTATGCGTGTTACCTCTCTTGGAGGCAAACACTATGTTTTTGTGATTATTGATGATTTTTCTCGTTTTACATGGACAATATTTCTTGCTAAGAAAAATGATTGTTTTGAAGAATTTGCTAATCATGTTAAAAGGATTGAAAATGAAAAAGATTTGAAAGTTGTTAAAATAAGAAGTGATCATGGTGGTGAATTTCAAAATGAATTTTTCTATGATTTTTGTGCTCATCATGGTATTACTCATATGTTTTCCGCTCCTAGAACACCACAACAAAATGGTGTTGTTGAACGGAAAAATCGCACCATACAAGAGATGGCACGCACTATGCTTAATTCTTTTGATTTGCCAAAATATTTTTGGGCGGAAGCCGTCAACACGGCTTGCCATGTTTTAAATCGTGTTTTGATTAGACCAAAGCTTAAGAAAACCCCTTATGAACTTTATTATGGAAAAACTCATTTCATTGGTTATTTTCGTGTCTTTGGTTGCAAATGCTTTATTTTAAATACAAAAGATCACCATGATAAATTTGATTCCAAAATTGATGTTGGTATTTTCTTGGGTTATGCACCTCGAAGTAAGGCTTATAGGGTCTTCAATAAACGAAGCCTCGTTGTTGAAGAGTCTATAAACGTTACTTTTGATGAGACTAATGTTGGCTCTCAAGTTGTTTTGCCTAGGAAGGATGATGATGATGATATTGAGGGAGGATTGGACTTGTTGCAAATCAATGACACTCCCTCTATAGAAGCTCAAAAGGATGTAGATTGCACAAATGCTCAAGATCAAGTTGAACAACCTAAAGCTTGGAAATTCACATCAAACCACCCAAAGGAACAAATCATTGGGAGCCCTTCAAAAGGAGTTATAACTCGCTCAAAAGCCTTGAGTGAATGTGGTAATGTTGCATTTCTATCTCAACTAGAACCTAAAAAGGTTAATGATGCTTTAAATGATGAGTTTTGGGTTTTGGCTATGCATGAAGAATTAAACAATTTTCAAAGAAATGAAGTTTGGAAGTTAGTTCCTAGACCTAACAATGCTAGTGTTATTGGTACAAAATGGGTTTTTAGAAACAAACTTGATGAACATGGCATTGTAACTAGAAATAAAGCACGTTTGGTTGCCCAAGGATACAATCAAGAGGAGGGCATAGACTATGATGAAACCTTTGCACCGGTTGCAAGGTTGGAATCTATTAGGATGTTTTTGGCATTTGCTAGTTTTAAAAATTTCAAACTATTTCAAATGGATGTCAAAAGTGCTTTCTTAAATGGTTTTATAGAAGAGGAAGTGTATGTTGAGCAACCCCCCGGTTTTATAGATCATGCTTTTCCTAATCATGTTTACCGGGTACAAAAAGCTTTATATGGGTTGAAACAAGCTCCTAGGGCTTGGTATGCTCGCCTCTCTAGTTTTCTTATTGAAAATGGTTTTTCAAAAGGAACAATTGATAACACACTTTTTGTGAGAAAAAGGAAAAATGATTTCATTTTGGTTCAAATATATGTGGATGACATTATTTTTGGTGCTACTAATGAATCCTTGTGCAAGGAATTTTCTAAAGTTATGCAGGATCACTTTGAGATGAGTATGATGGGAGAGCTTACATTCTTTCTCGGGCTCCAAGTCAAGCAAACTAAGGATGGGATCTTCATTTCACAAAGCAAGTATGCGAAGGAATTGGTGAAGAAATTTAAGTTGGAGAATTCTAAGCATGCGCCTACTCCCATGAGTACTAGTGTTAAGCTTGATGCGGATGAGAGTGGTGAAGATGTGGACCAAAAACTATACCGAGGTATGATAGGTAGTCTTCTTTATCTCACCGCTAGTAGACCCGACATCATGTTTAGTGTATGTGCATGTGCACGTTTTCAAGCTTCTCCAAAAGCATCTCATTTAATTGCGGTTAAAAGGATCATTAAGTATGTTAATGGAACTTTTAACCTTGGTTTGTTTTATCCAAAAAGCACCACTTTTGATTTATATGGTTTTTGTGATGCCGACTTTGCCGGATGTAAGGTAGATCGCAAGAGTACTAGTGGAACATGCCAATTCTTAGGAAATTCCCTTGTTTCTTGGGCTTCCAAGAAACAAAATTGTGTTGCATTGTCCACTACGGAAGCGGAATACATTGCCGCCGGCTTATGTTGTGCTCAAGTTTTATGGATGAAACAAAGTTTAGTTGACTATGATTTGAATTTTCAAAATATTAAAATCTTTTGTGATAACACAAGTGCCATAAATATTTCCAAAAATTCGGTTTTGCATTCTAGAACTAAGCATATTGACGTGCGCCATCATTTCTTACGCGATCATGTAGAGAGACAAGATGTATCCCTAGTATTTGTTGACACCAAATCTCAACTAGCGGATATATTTACTAAGCCTCTTGGAGAGGATGATTTTTGTCGCATAAGAAATGGTTTGGGCTTATGCACTATGTGAAAGTTCTACATTGCTTGCTTGATTAGTTGCATTTTGCATTTGGCATTTCTCTTTACCCCATTTTTGATGGTGACAAAGGGGGAGAGAAATCTCCTCATTTGTTGCATATATTTAGGGGGAGCTCATAGATAGGGGGAGCACCTATCTATAAGCTATCTTATTTTTGCTCTTATATAATGGTTGGTTGTCATCATCAAAAAGGGGGAGATTGTTAGCCCTTATGTTTTGATGATGTTCTTACAACCACCATTATCGGTACTAATGGCTTATTGAGTGTAAATGTAGTAAAATCATTTGTCAAGCTCGTTAGTGCCATTAACGGAGGATGGATGGAATATACGCTAAAACGAAGACATCTAAAGGAGGAGGAGGCCAAAAAGATGAAGCAACGTTATTTCAAGAACAACAAAGTCATATAAAAGCTTCATCCGATTCAAGCTATATCAAAGCTCAAGTATTGCTTTCAATATGAGGATATTAGCCTTCTTTTGTTCTTCTCTCTAGTGCTAGAATGTAGGCAAAGAGTTACTGAGTTTACTTGAAGCTATTGGGAATCACACACACGTTTTTAAACTTGTGCTTTTAAGCGTTTTTCACAAAATACTATTTTTCACAAGTTTGAGTACCTATCTGCAAAATTCTTTTTCCAAGCAGTTTGTTTTTAGTATTAAAAACATTTTACAAAGTTTCAGAATTTTCAGAGGTCAAATGAATATTTTGGAAATATTTCAACTTGGTCAAATAACCTGATTTCAGAATATGTCAGAAATCGGTCGACCGGTCCGGTCGACCGATCTCAGGGTTCAGATTAAGGTTGAAGAGAGAAAGATGAAGAAAACACCTTCTGAGTTGGAAAGAACTTCTGCTGCTCAGGGCTTCGGCCTCCTCCTCGTGCTAGCCGACAGATGATCTTCAGGGGCTAGGGCTTCGGCGGAGGACCGGAGCTAGGGTTTCGGCGGAGGACCGGAGCTAGGGTTTCGGCGGAGGAGAGTAGGGATGAGCGTGAGGAGCTTGGAAAGAAACGCGGGTGGATCGAGATCGAGATCGAGATCGAGCTTTGAGATCGAGATCGAGATCGAGATCGAGTCGGGACTTTGACACGAGCATGAGAGAGGAGAAAAAGAGGAGTCGGGGTTTTGAGGGGTTGGATTTCGTGGGGTGAAGATTTGGCAAATACCAAGTACTGTGCCTAAATTTGAAATCCATACCTTTTGGCTGTGTTTAGGAATGTTGATTTGGGCTTGGATTTGAAATTCTGGGTATTTCAAATTCAAATTTCATGTTTGCGCTCAACTTTGGACCATGATTTTAAATCAAGTCATTTTATTCAGTGGATTTGAAAAGCCTAAAAGGTATGGATTTCAAATTTAGACACAGTACTTGGTATTTGCCAAATCTTCACCCCACGAAATCCAACCCCTCGAAACCCCGACTCCTCTTTTTCTCCTCTCTCATGCTCGTGTCAAAGTCCCGACTCGATCTCGATCTCGATCTCGATCTCAAAGCTCGATCTCGATCTCGATCTCGATCCACCCGCGTTTCTTTCCAAGCTCCTCACGCTCATCCCTACTCTCCTCCGCCGAAACCCTAGCTCCGGTCCTCCGCCGAAGCCCTAGCCCCTGAAGATCATCTGTCGGCTAGCACGAGGAGGAGGCCGAAGCCCTGAGCAGCAGAAGTTCTTTCCAACTCAGAAGGTGTTTTCTTCATCTTTCTCTCTTCAACCTTAATCTGAACCCTGAGCACCAGATTTGTGTGGTAATTCTAATTGATTTCATTTAAGATTTTCTTTTATTTTTTTACTTGAAGCAGCGTTGTAGTCGTTTGTTATTTCTTTGCATCTTTGTTGGAATCGTCAGATTGTAGATGCTTTGGAGGTTTTTTTTTTAATTTACAATGCGTAGGTGCAAGTTTTAGCGTGACAATGCAGTGTTTTGATCTTTGATCTGGGGTAAATTTCTTGTTATTGTGATTTTAAGTTGAGGAGCGCACTTTTTTAACTTGGGACTCTGGATGTTTGAGTGGGATGTTAACTGAATTATGGAATTTGATTTATGTCCTCTTATAATCGTGCGCAGTTTTCTTAAGTTTTTATTTTGAGCACAATTTTTTCTGAAGAGGCCTGAAAATAAGTTATGTACATTATTTTTGATATTTACAAAATAGCATCGGTTGTGTGGGAGGATGAAGAACATAATTTTCCTCATTGAGGGAGTGGAGTTGGAGTTTTGTGAAATAAAATTATTTCGTGAACAAGCAATTTGGAAACCAACTGAAAAATACATTATGCGTCAACTACAAATGATGGTTGATTACATTGGAGTATTGAACTCAGAGATGTGTAGCCCTGAAGGATTGATTTTTTAGAGCTGGAATTATGGGTAAGTTTGGTAGGATTTTGATCAAAACAGTAATAGGGATGGGAAAGCTAGGGGGAAAATAATAACTTGATGGAGGCACACTTCTCTTTAAAATTTTCACATCTTTGAAAAATTCTCTTTCTCCAAGTGTATGATCATTTGCATTTAGTACGTGAAGTAGAGACCACAGAGATATTCATAGATCGACTCATTTAAGTACATAAACAAATAGACCAATAGCAAGTAGCAACTTTTATTAGGTTTTCCAATTTAACAAAATAGATTGACTCCTCATTGAGCGTGATGAATATTTGATTATGTAGCTGGCTAAAAGATTTGGGATAAACATTTTATTGTTGTCATTCTTTGTATTAATCCTGATTTAGACAAACTTATTTGTCCCTCTAGAAAGTGTGTAATCAACTAAATTACAAATTAACTGAACTTATGAACATAAGCTTGAACATTATGCAAGTACTAAAACTAGTACTTAAAGTTATAAGGAGTTTGAAACATGAAGTCAGTTGCCAGCGAGGGTTTTCCTTGGAGTTACTTAAATCACTATTCATTTATTATCACTATTTTTTGACTAGTTTGGTGTGGTGGTTGTTTTATTTGATTTCCTGAAATCTGATCGCTTCATTTGCCCTATGATTCAGTAGAGGCATTGGCATGGCTAATTTAAACCTGTGCAAAAATACCCAACTTAAGTCGAATTCAAGTGTTCAATGCATTTGAGAAGCTAATGGATAGCAACCCGGAAAAGTTTTATTTGTTGAAGTCACTTCCTGATGATGAAAAAAGAGATTTTATTCTCTTTATTCTTAAGGAGTAGCTTCTAGTTTTCAGGTTGGACTACTTTTCTTCATCTCAATGTTATTCTTCACAATATTGTTAACTGAATATTTCTAATTTTTTGATGATTTCTTATGAATGCATTAGGGTTTGGTGATTTTGATGGATTCTTAGCTAATTCAAGTAAGGAGTGCTTGTCTCATCTCAAAGGTACAAAATTTTCATTTTATTAAGAATTTTGTTCTTTTTATTTAGTGTATACTTGATTATGATGCATTTCTAAAATGTATCTTTCATTAGGTTTGTGCAAGTCTATTTCTTTTCAAGTATGAAAGCACTTTAAAAATTTCGAACCTCATAGAGAGGCAATTCTATTATAAGTATTATCAACTGAGACATGAATCAAACCATGCGCCTTTCTTTTCCTCAGTGGCGTTGTGAGGCACCCAAAGTTCCGGGGGTGTTTTTGTGAAATTTACCCTCTGAATTATTATGACAGAAGATACTGTTTCTGACTCTGCTCTTTCTCCTTTGTATTCTTATTGTGTTTGTATAACTTACTTTCTATGTACCTTTTCTATCCATTATTCATCTCTCTTAC